CTCTCGTCGAGCCAGTCCGTCCAGGTGCAGCGAGGCTCACAGCCCGTGGTGGGTGATGTGGCCGAGGTGCTGGAGTGAGGGCCCGGTGTCGAGGGGCTGGAGATGGTGGTCCCCAAAGTGGGCCTGGATCCCTGGGTTGTGCTGAGTGGTGTGGTGGTCAGGGCGGGTGTGGAGGGTGTGCTGGGTGAGGCTGAACTGGCGGTGGTTGTGGGGGTCTCAGCGGTGGTTGTGGGGATCTTAGTGGTGGATGTCGGGGTCTCAGTGGTGGTTGTGGGGATCTTAGTGGTGGATGTCGGGGTCTCGGTGGTTGTGGGCGTCTCAGCGGTGGGCTGATAGGTGGTCAGGACAGTGACCCGCTCAGTGGTGCCAGGCGAGGTGGGGCGAGTCTGTGTGGTGGCTGAGGTTGAGGGTCCTGGCACCCTCGATGACAAGATGTGTGCTCTAAAGGGTGTGGTGATGGTGGTGGTGGATGAGGGGGTGGGAGTGGATGTGGGCCCCACCATTGTGGAGGTGGGTGTGGGTGTGGGTGTGGGGGTAGACGTGGGCCCTGCTGTTTTGTAGGTGGGTGTAGGGGTGGACGCAGGTCCCACCGTCATGGAGGTGGATGTGGCCATGGCGGTGGACGAGGGCCCCGCCGTCATGGTGGTGGGGGTGAGTGTGGATGCAGGTCCCGTTGTCATGGAGGTGGATGCAGAGTTGGGTGCGGGGGTGGATTCAGGTCCCGCCACCGTGGAGGCGGATGTGGCCGCAGAGGTGGCCATGGGCCCCGCGGTCGTGGATGTCGTGCCCCTGCAGTGCTGGTAGTCATTGCAGCAGAGCACACGCACGTTGTAGTTGAAGCACATGTTGAAGGGTCCCTGCTGCTCCTCGTTCCTGCAGACCAGCCCCTCCTGCAGGCTACAGTGCACCACCTGCCCGATGTGGTCCAGGCTCACCCCGGGATAGTTCTCCGCACGGCACTCGATTCTCTCAGGCGCGTGGCACAGCTTACCCCCGGCCGCCCGGATATTGTCTAATGTCTCCATGTCGCCCCCAGAAACCCCTGAAGTGGGGAAGTCCACGTCAAACCACTCAGTCCACTCGCACCTGGGCTGGCAGATGGTGGTCCCCTGGCCCGTGGTGGCTGTGGTCGTGGTTGGCTGTGACACCTGGGAGCTGGTGCTGTGGACCCCTGGAGACGTTCCCGTTGATGGGAGCACAGTGGGGCTTGATCTTGCTGTTGATGCTGGCGTGGACATCTGGGATGTTCCCCAAGTGCTGACGCTCAATGTGGTCACGTGCAGGGTTGTGTGAGTTGGAGGGACCAACGTAGAGCCTTTTGGACTGGTGGGTGTAGGAGACCCTGTGGGAGATATGGAACCCTCTGTGCCTGTGCTCTTGGTAGTGGATGTGACGAGTGTGTTGGTGGAGCTGGGTTGGGAAGTCGGCCCAGTTGAGGGGAACGGTGCTGTGGTGGTGCCAGCTACGGGGGTCCAGGTGGGTGACATGGCGGTAGTGTGTCCCCCACAGTGGCTGTAGCTGCAGCACAGAACACGGATCCTGTAGTTGTAGCACATCTGAAATGGTCCTTTCTGCTCATCATTCCTGCAGACCAGGCCAAAGCTGGTGTCACAGTGGACCTTCTGGCCCACCTGCTGGAGCGTCTTGTTAGGGTAGCTCTCGGCCTGGCATTCTATGTCCTGTGGCTGCTCACATATGTCCCCTCCTGCTCTGCGGATCTTATCGTAGGACTCGACATCACCCCCGGCCTCCTCAGACTTGGGGTAGTCCTTATCAAACCACTCTGTCCACTGGCACCTGGGCTGACAGGTGGTGGCAGCTGGGGACTCAGAGCTTGTGACCAACTGGGTTGTGGTTATGGTGGCTGAGGTCGATTGAGTTTGCAAGGTCAGTGCTGTGGTGGACTTGGAGTTTGGGGTTGACTGCAGGGTGGTTTCTCTTGTGGAGATGATCTGGGTCGAGGTGGGCAAGGACTTGGGGGAAAGTGTTTCTGTCCTGGGGGTAGGCACGGGGGTCTCTGTGGTGGATCCGGGCTGAGTGGTGACACTGGCAGACGGCCGGGGGCTGGTGTGCAGGTCTGGGGGGGTGCTGCAGGGCTCAAGTACACAGCACAGGACCCGCAGCTTGTAGTTGTGGCAGAGAGGGGGGCTCTGCTCACGGTTGAGACATGTCAGCCCCCTGGCGAGGTTACAGTCGACCCTCTGGCCCAGCTCCTCCAGGGACGTGTTGGGGAAGGCCTCCGCCCTGCACTCAATGTCCGCCGGTGCTCTGCACACCTGGTACCCCCTCTGCCTCAGTTCCACAAATGTTTCAAAGTCGCCTCCTCCCATCCCAGGCTCTGGATGGCTGCCATCATACCAGCTGGACCAGGTGCAGGCCTCCCGCACACACACGGTGGGAGTCGCCGAGGGTGTGGGCACTGAGCCTGGGAGGGAGCATCAGGGAGATAGGGGTGTCAGGGGGAGGATCTACATCAGGTGGAGGAAGGATCAGGGGAGGGGGGAGTGAGTAGGGGGGGCGTCAGGGGAAGAAGGCTTCAGGGAGAGGAGGGGCTGGGGGAAAGGGGGATCCTCCTTCACTCCTGACTGCGAGCCCTGCCCTGGTCGGGGTGACAGTATGCCCTCTGGCACCAGGGTTGGCCCCTTTGCCTCAGGGATCCAGGCGGGATCCCTAGGCCGGGCCTCAGGCTGGGTTAGGGCCATTCCTGGTTGGAGGGGTGAGTCCATGGCCAGAGCTTGGGGCAGGCCGCTCTAGGGATGGAGCAAGGTCTGGGAGGCCCCACTGTCTCCCTTTGGGGGCGGCCCCTGTCAATCATTCGGAGATGCAGCAGGAACAGCTGGGAAGGCCGTGGGGAGCTGTAGATACCGGGCAGGGGGCGGCGGCGCAGGTAGGCTGGACGGCCCCGGGCTGCCCTGGCGGCCAGCACAGATAGCTGAGTGCCTGGCTGAGTTTCTCCCGGTCGCCCAGACGCAGCCGGAGATGACGAGGGGACCCCCCCACAATGAGCCTGTGTTGGGGCCTCAGAATCACGCGCGGCCGCCCGGGACTCACTTGCTGTGGACTGCGGCGCCACCGTGGTGGTGAAGGTGAACGGCGTCGTGGGCGTGGTTCCAGGACACTCCACGGTCGCCCGGTGTATGGTCCCGTTGTCCCCGCAGACGGCGACCAGGCAGGCGCCCAGCCCGTCGGTGGTGTTATAGATCACTTCCAGGTAGCCGTACGTCCTGCCCTCGTAGGTGCACGTGCAGGCTGCGGGCGGGCAGGTGCCGGCTCACTTGGAGCCCCCAGTCCCCCAGTCCACTAGCCCCCCTACACCTCCAGCCCCCAGACAAGCCTGACCCTCCTTACCCTCGAGGATGTGCTCGCACTGGATGCCACGCGTTGTGCAGATACTGGGGGAGAGGGAAGGAGAGCTGTGGGGCCGGCGCGTAGCCCCGCCCCCGTCCCGCCTCCACCCCGCCCCCTGCCCACAGCCCTGCTTCCTGCCCTGAAGCCCCGCCCCATCCCGTCCCACAGCCCCGCCCACTGTCCACAGCCCTGCCTCCTGCCCTGAAGCCCCGCCCCATCCCCTCCCACAGCCCCGCCCACTGTCCACAGCCCTTCCTCCTGCCCTGAAGCCCCGCCCCATCCCCACTCCCGCAGCCCCGCCCCCTGTCAGCCCTGCCTCCTGCCCTGAAGCCCCGCCCCATCCCCTGTCCCGCAGCCACGCCCCCTGTCCACAGCCCTGCCTCCTGCCCTGAAGCCCCGCCCCATCCCCACTCCCGCAGCCCCGCCCCGCCCTCCCGCAGTCCCCTCACCAGCTCTGGCAGTTCTCGGTGGTGGCCACCTTCGCGCTGACCTCGTAGTAGTTCTCGTCTTCGTCGTAGCAGCCGCACTGGGCTACGCACTTCATCTGGTCCTCACTGAAGAATGGCTTGCTGGGCGGGCACTTGGGATAGCAGCCTGGAGCCGTCGGGGGAGGGCGGCTCACTCAGGACCCTTTAGCCCTTGCAGGTCAGGGGTGGGTGCTGCCCCCACCAGCCTGCAGGCTCTGTTCTCCCCTGTCCTGGGGTGGGGGGCAGGAGCAGCAGGGACTCCCCCGGGCACCGCCCTGAGCAGATGGGATGGGGCAGCCAAGAGCGCAGGGGCAGACGAGAGGGACGTCTGGACGTATCGGGGCCGCGGGGCCACAGTGGTAGGAACCCCACACTGCACCACTGGACACATCCCCCGGCTCCTGTGGACTGTCCCGAGACACCTCCCCTCCGCCTGTAGGAACCGTCTGCCCCTCACCTTCCAGGCCGGGCAGGTCAAGGAGGCAGCGCCCGCTGGGGTTCCGGCAGGTCCGCATGCAGGGGACCCCGCACGGCTGGTAGTGCCACTCACACTCCCCGTGGGGGTTGTAGTAGTCGCAGAATAAGGCTGAACACAGGAACGCAGACTCAGAGAGTGCCCCCCATCACCCTTGGTGGGCTGTGCAGCGCCTGTCCATTCCCGAAAACCTGCTCGGCGGAGGTCTTGCCCCAGGGGCTGGATCTGGGCTTGTCCCGGAAGGGCAGCGAGTCTGGGGGCGTTGGACAGCTTCATTTCTAAGCCCTGCCCTTGGAGTTCCTGTCCCTTGCTGAGCCATCTCGTTTTGGACTGACCTGTCTGGTTTTACGCAGATCTACATCTGTGCTCGTGCACACCTGTGTACGTGTGCACGCGTGTTGGGCTCCGTGTGTGTGGTGTGGGCCAGGCTCGTGGCTGGGCTCAGGGGCCGCGGCGGCTCCTGGCGTGGAGCTGCAGTCCCGCCTCCTCCCTCCTCCCACCGCCCCGCCTCCTCCCTCCCTCTGCCCCGCCTCCTCCCTCCTCCCTCCTCCCTCCTCCCTCCTCCCTCCCTCTGCCCCTTCAGCACCGCGGACAGAGCCCGACTTACGGCAGACGTCAGGGCTGCGCCAGGACACGCACACGCCCGCGTCGTGGCAGGCCTGCGCGTAGGCGGCCACGGCCGTACAGAAGCACTCGCAGTCGCCGCCCGAGTCGCAGGCGCACGCGTCGCTCACGCAGGCCTCGTAGTACTTGGTGGGGTCGACCTGTAAGCGGAGGCGGCCGCGGTGGCGTCAGCCAAGGAGCGCCCAGCCCACCCCAGCCTTTGCGTCTCAAAGCCCCACTACGGATCGGAGGTCCATGGTGCTGGGGCCAGGACTACCTTCCCTCGCTCCACCTTGACCACCCACCTGTGCACCAAGGATCTTCCTCCCCAGCAGGCTCCAGCTTCCACTGTCCCCCTCAGGCCCCCTGCATCGCGTAAACCTGATCCTGTGGCTTCCAGGTCCCAACACCACCCAAGTGTCTCTTGGTCACTCTGGCCACCCCCTCCCCTTTGCTCGCTCTGCTCCAGCCCCGCTGGCCTCCTGGCTGTCTTCTAGCCCACTGCCCTGCCCCCCTCAGCCTGTGTTGACCATTTCTTCCCTGGAATGCTACTCCCCCATAGCCACATGGCTCCCCCCATGACATTCAGGGCTCCGCTCAAAAGCCGCCTCCCAGGAGTTCCTCCCACTCCATCCCAATGCCCTGCTGTCCGAGCCCCTGTCCCACATCTAGTGTGCATCCCCTCTCAGATGTAAGCTCTGGAGGGCCGGTGCGCCCCTCACCCACGTCTGTGAGCCAAGGGCACCGCTGTGAGCCCAACACAAGGCTGCCCCCGCAGGGCACATGATAGGCCCCAGAGGCTGAGCCTGAGCCAGCACCTCTAGGGCAGGCAATTTGCTACCTGACCCCTGTGAGTGCATTAACCCTCTCCTGCTCAATGGGGAGCCGCCCAAAGCCACACACCTGCCAGGTGCATGCCCTGGTTGGACCCAGCTGGGGCCAAGGCTCTTGTTTTTGCCACCACCTCCAGACAGCCCCATCCCAGTGGGAATTGGCCTTGTCCCACTCCTAATCATGAAGGATTCTCAGTGCCGTGAGCAGGGAAACCAGGGGGGTGTTAATCACCTCTGGAGAGACAGACTGCTGAAAGCAGCTTTGGGGCTCTCATCCCAGCAAAGACACATTAGCTGCAAACTCTTCCTTCATAAGCCTCCCTCCTCTTGTTATCCTTGAAAGTCTGGAGTTAGGAAACTGTGTTTGTAAGCGGCCACTTAAAACTTTGTTAAAATGAAGTGTTTACCAGGGCCTGCGAGATGGGGAGTGAGGAGTTATTGTTTAATGGGTACAGAGTTTGTTTGGAGTGATGGAAAAGTTTTAGATGGATTGTAGTGATCATAGCACAAGTAGAACTGCCCCGTAGGGTTTCCAAGGAGCAGCTGATGGATTTGAACTGCTGACCTTTGGTTAGCAGCTCATCTCTTAACCACTGTGCCACCAGGGCTCCCAGGGTACTTAGTGCTGCTGAATTTTACCCTTAAAAATGGTTAAAATGGTAAATTTTATGTTACATGTATTTTACCACAAAAAAAAAAAAAAATAAAATGACTTGATTTTTTAAAAGGAGTCTCTCCCTAAGGCCTTTGTGTGGTGGGGCTGACAGGGGCACTCCAACCTTCCTTGTTAGTTCTGGGGTTCGGGCATCTCAGGGTGTGGGGGACGGTGGTGAGGTCAGCTTGTGCAGCCCCTGCTCCAGGGTCCTCTTGTCTGCAGTCACCCACACCAGCAGCCTGTGACTGGGGACCTGTGGCCCATTTCCAGGGGGAGGGAGACTGAGGTTTTGCTTAGGAAGTGGCTGGAAAGTAGGGGAGACCTGGCCATGGTCTGTGCTGGGCCTGGGAACTGCCTGGTGGGAGGTTCACCCCCATGACCCGGGTTATGGGCTGAATTGTGTCTCCCAAAAGCTTATGTGGAAGTTCTAACCCTGTACCTGTGAATATGACCCTATTTGGAAATAGAGTTTCTTTTGTTATGCTAATGAGGACACACTGGAGTAGGGTGGATCCTAAACCTCATCCCTTCCGGGTGCTGTTAGCTCTGACTCATAGAAACCCCACGTACACCAGAACGAAACGTGGTCCTGTCCTGCGTCATCTTCATGCCATTGGTGTGTTTGAGTGGTGTCTTATAAAAAGAGAATAGACACAGACATGCTCAGGGGGAAGATGTGCCAGGTGAGGACTGTCTACAAGCAAAGGAATGCCAAGGATCACGGGCAGACACCAGACACCAGGAGAGAGACCACAGGAGGAACCGGCCCAGCCGAGACCCTGATTTGGACTTCTAGCCTCCAGACCATGAGACAATACAGCCACCCCTTTGTGGTGTTTGTGGGGATGGCAGCCCCAGGAGACGGAGACACTCCATGAACCCAGCACTGTGCGTGGGCTCTGGTCAGTCAAGGCCGCCCTGAACGTCTGCTTTGTGCCCAGCCCTGCCCAGCCCTGCTTCCCCCGGGAAGGAAAGGGCACATCCCCTGCCCTGCCGGCTCTTCCCCAGGCTCCTTCCTGCCGAGCCCCAGCTGTCCTGATCCCCACCTGAGACCGGCATGCGGCGAACGTGGCGCCGTGGAGGATGCTGCACTGCTTCTGGGCCCAGGACTTGCGGTACGGGTTGGCGGTGCAAGGGTCCCTGGGGGCGAGGGCGTCCGGGCAGGACGGTGAGAACTTCCAGCTGTTGCCGAACTCCAGCACGTCGCCCACCACGGACTGGCTCCGCGTGGTGAAGTCGTTGACGGCGTTGCTGTCGAAGTTGCCGCACAGCCCACACACTTTCCCCTGCAGACAGGTGAGGACAGATGGAGTGTGCGGAACTGGGACCACACACAGGTTCACCCATGGGAGGTGGCATGGAGCCTGGCCTGGGGTGACTGCGCGGAACCTGGTGCCCCAGGCAGCCCCCCAGGGACTTGCAGGAGGACGAGGTGCCCAGTGAATTAGCTGGGCAGCTGGGCAGGCACCTGCTCCTCCATTGAAGCCCTCAGCCCAGCTGAGGGCTGTGCTGGGCTGGGCAGCCACTTTACCAACAAGATGGTTCCCCAAGGCACCTGTTGATTGGTTAGGTCTCTGTCCTGCCCCTCCGAGGAACCCTGTGGTGTGCCTGGCCTCACCTCAGCCCTGGGCCTTTCCAGGTGAGGACCAGGCCATCAGCATTTGCCAGGTGCAGGGCTCTGTCACCTCCTCTTAGGTGGGTTCCAGGGCAGCTATGACTGTGCCTGGCCAGCCTGCGCTCACCTTGTAGCCCTGGTGCAGCCTGATGAACACGCTGGTCTTCCGGTCCCACGACACGACCAGCCCACCTCGGGTCTCGATGACCAGGTAGATGCCCATGTAGCGGATCTTGTAGGCTGGGTCTCCACCAGGCCCCCTCTCCACCACCTTCATGTGCCCCTCGGTGAGGATCAGTTCGTAGCTCTGCAGAGCAAGGTGAGGGCTGCAGGGAGCCGAGGGGCAGCTGTCGGGGCAGGAGCTGACCTACAGCCCCTGGAAAGGACCGAGCCACAGGCAAGCCAGCCCAGCTTTAAGGGTGAGCTGGGCTGCTGAGATCCTCCCAGTGAAGTGAGGTGAGGGATTGGCAGGAAGGGTTAACTCGGCAGGCCTGGGTTGTCCAAACCCTACTCTTTCCAAAGGAAGGTCTGCCCTGAATGGGCTCCTGGGAGGGGACCTCTAAGCTTGGAGTGTCCCATCTGATGAGAATGTCTTTGTTTACCTGGGGCAGTGGGAAAGACGGAGGAGAGACAAAGAGAGGACAGGGGTAGGCTCTGGGACAACAGAAGCAGAGCACGGAGTGACACAGTCACAAGCCAGGGGACGCGGGAAGCCACCAGCAGCTGGAAATGACAAGAAGGGTCCTTCCCCAGAGCCTCCGGGGGGAGTGTGGCCCTGCTGGCACCCCAAATTCAGACTCCCAGCCTCCAGAACTGAGAGAACAAGTCCCAGTTGTTTTCAGCTGCCTGGTTTGTGATAACATGTTACAGCAGCCCCAGAAGCAAGAATACCCCGAGAGCCTGTGGGGTAGGTGAAGCCCATTCAGAAGACTTCCCTGGGGGTGGAGCCAAAGGCTGGGATGCTCCCGGAGGGTGGCTCTCGGGCCGCAGAGGGCGGGAGAGGCCCTCGGACAGCTGCCCTCACCTCCAGGAAGACTTTGATGGCCTTGGAGCAGGTGACGCCAGTGGTCCCACAGGGGATGTTCTCGGTGATGATCCGGAAGGTTCCATTGGCGGTGGTGGTGGCCCCGCAGTAGTCCTGGGATGGGAAGAGGTGGGCATGAGCGGCCGGCGTTGGGGGCCTGGGCGTGGACGGCCCGGGGGAGCGAGGCGGGTGGGGTGGCGCACCTGGGCCAGCATGTACTCGCAGCTGCCTTCAAAGCTGTACCGCTCACCATCGAAGGTGATGAAGTGCCCGTCCCCGTAAGCCACACAGGTGCCCAGGCAGGGCTGGTCGGTACACTCCCACCGCCGGCGCCGGCATGTGCTGCGGGGGTGGGGGCACGCCCTGCTCACCAGGAGGGCCCAGGACAGGAGCCCCCAGCCGCCCTAGCTGTACCCTGGCCAGTCACTCCCCAGTGGCGGGGCCTCAGCCAGTCACTTATCCTCCCGAAACTCAGCTCCATCACCCGCAAGATGGGACCGAGGTGAGGCCCTGCAGTTTGTTAAGAGGATAAGGGGGGGGTGGGCAGTGGCCCTGGTGTCGGTTATAACCTCGCGGTGCCCCCAGCCCCTGAGCTAGAAGGGCCGATGATCCTGGGTGTCAGTTTTGACCAGGCCGTGATTGGCTGGGCTCAGAGGCTGTGGCCCTGGGCACGTTCCAGAGGACAAGCCGGACACTGCCTCTGGGGGCATTCTGAGGCCTCGGCCGCTCCTCTGCCTCCTGCAGACGCCCCGCCTCCCTGGCCAGCCATTTCTCTGTCACTGTCCTTCCCTGTGTCTGCTCCAGCAAAGGGACCTTCCCACCCACCCCGATGCCTCCTGACCCTGCACCCACCAGGTGTTGCAGTCGACCCTGATGGTGTCCCCGGGCTGGTAGGTGGCCTCATTGTGCACACAGGGGCAGTCCTCCTCGGCCACGCACCCCCCGCTGCCGTCTGACACCAGCCCCGGGGGACAGACACAACCGGAGACACAGTGGGTGCTGTACTGTGGGGACAGGCAGGCATGGTCAGGGGGAGGGGGCAGCCTGCAGGAGCCTCAGGAGCTCGCCTGCCCCCACCCCCCCATGCTAGGCACACCATGGTGAGGGGACACGGTGCAATCCTGGGGCCCAGGCGAAGGGACAGGTCCTCCGCTCAGCCCCAAGGGCATGTGTTGTGAGCGGGGCGGGGGGGGGTGCATAAAGGGGTAGGGTGCCCAAGTGTCAGCAAGCCCCGGGCCCAGGAATGAGCCAAGGACATTGGGAGTGGCGGTGTGGCTGTCCCCACCCCCTGCAGGCCACTCACACAGTCCACATCGAGCGTGTGGCAGCTCCGAAGGCACTCAGCCCCGAGGGACCCCACCGAGGCATTGCTGCAGTCCACATACACCATGGGGGCCACGCACCCTAGGCGGGGACAGCAGGCTGCCAGGGGCCTGGAGAGGGAGGCCCTGGGCACCCCGAGACTGCCAACCTCGAGCCTGGCTGTTCGGCCCAGTGGCATCTCCCATCCCGTCTGACCACCCAGCACCCTGCAGACCTGGGAGGTGTGCCCCAGCCCCATGGGGAAGCCCCTGCCCTCTCCAGGAGCGCCAGAGGCAGGGGCCAGGGTGGGGGACCATCCAGGGGCCAGCGCAGGGCTCAGGCAGGGTGAGGGCCTGGGGGTGTCAGGCATTACCCGTGCTCCTCTGCTCCGGGGCTCCGAGGCAGCTCAGCTTCCCCCCAGTGCACGAGCTACGAGAGACGGAAGGATAGATGGACAATGGGAGCCCACTGGCTCTGCCCCTCCACAGACCCTGAACCCCACCGGGCTCACAGCGCCCCCTGCCCGGGGCCTGCACTGGGGCTCCACAGAGGCCTGAGGATGTTGCCCACCAAGGTGGCCGTGAAGACCCAACACCCGGGGAAATACAGGAAGGGAGGAGCGCAGGGACGTGCGGGGAGGCCCTTGACTCTAGAAGGAAAGGCCTTGTGCGGCCAGAGCTAGGGTGGAGTGGGGACCTCCTCCTGGGCTGCAGTTTGGTCTTGTGGGTGAGGGGGGCCCTGTTGAGGGACCCACTGTGCTCCCCACCTGCCCCACCTCCACCCCTGTGGACCCTATACCCCCAGAGCACCCCCTGAGCTAGGAAAGCGTGCCCCCTCTCTACAGACAGGCTTGTGTTGGGGCAAGTGGTCCTCCTGTGCTCCTGTCCCCTCCCTGGGGTGGCCCCGTGGTATTTAGAGGCCCTCAGGGAGTGGAGCGGGGGCGTAGCAGCTCCCTGACGCCTGGGAGGGGGAAAGGACGTTGCGCAGGAGGCGGGGACTGGCAAGGGACTGTGGTGGGGCCCAGCAGAGGCCACCGGCATGGGGGGGGAGGGGCAGGGGGTGTGCCTGGCTCTGCGCCTGCCGGGGAGGAAGCTATCTGCAGGAGGAGCCCAGCCTGCGGTTTGCAGCACTGTCAATGCAGGGGTTTTGCTCCTGGCACATCTCCTCCTCCCTGTGGAGGCTCTGAGCACACCAGGCGGGACCCCCTGCAGCCCTGCACCCCCTAAGTGAACGGACACCTAGTGGAAATGCAGTGAGGGCATTCAGAGCCTCCCTGCTGGGACCCCCACCGGCCTCTCATGTCTTCACTCCACCCCAAGCCTTTGTCTCAGGGCGAGGCAGGGGCTGATGGAGGGGCAGTCTCCTGCCCCCCACCATCTCCTGTCCCCCTACCCCTACCCTCAGCGAGGGGCTGGTGACGGAGCTTGGAGGAAGACGCCGCGCCCCCCACCGGTGGTACCCCTTACCACACCACGCCGTTGTCATGCAAGACCTCGCCCGGGGCCACCATGGTGCTGTGCAGGTAGCAGGGACACGCCTCGGCAGGCACGCACGCGCCAGCCTCGTCCAGGTAGGTGCCCACCGGGCAGGTACAGCCGTCCACGGGCACGAAGGAGACACCGCAGGTGACATCAGCCTCACTGAGGGCGCGGCAGGTGGGCTGGCAGGCGTCCACCACGTACTCATAGCTCTGCGACTTGGGGCAGCTGGTCATGTACTTGGCTGGAGCGGGGGGTGTGCAGAGTGGTCAGAGTGGGCTGGAGTCGGGGGGCAGAGTGGTCAGAGCGGGCTGGAGTCGGGGGGCAGAGTGGTCAGAGCGGGCTGGAGTCGGGGGGCAGAGTGGTCAGAGCGGGCTGGAGTGGGGGTGCAGAGTGGTCAGAGCGGGCTGGAGTGGGGGGGCAGAGTGGTCAGAGCGGGCTGGAGTGGGGGTGCAGGGTGGTCAGAGCGGGCTGGAGTCGGGGTGCAGAGTGGTCAGAGCGGGCTGGAGTCGGGAGGCAGAGTGGTCAGAGCGGGCTGGAGTGGGGGTGCAGAGTGGTCAGAGCGGGCTGGAGTGGGGGGGCAGAGTGGTCAGAGCGGGCTGGAGTGGGGGGGGCAGGGTGGTCAGAGCAGGCAGCCTGGCTCTAGCCCACGCTTCCCCCCTCCCTGGCTGTTGTTTTAGCTTCTCATGCCTCAGTTTCTCCCTCTGTGAAATGGGACTTGCAAGCATGCAAGGTTCCTGTGAGAGCCAGCAAGAAGGCACCAAGCTCTTGGCTGAGGATTCAGCTGGGGTTTGCCACAGTCACTGCCTGCCCACAAAGGAGCCAGCCTGGGGTGTCCCTACTTGCCCTTCCCGGCTGACGTGATGGGGGTAGGTCAGCACCTTGGGGCAGGTGGTCACAGGCTTCACTGCAGAGACCCCAGGAAGAGGGGACTTGGGACGCTCGTGGGCACAGAGCTGTGCCGTCCTTACTGGGGTCCTCATGGGAAACCCCAGCCTAGGGCTCCTCTTCATCCCCACTGCTGGTGTGCGTCCCCAAACCTCGGCCTCCCCCTCCTTGTCTGCAGGATCTGGAGCTGCATGGCTGGGGTGGGACACGTGGAGCGTGTGCACGAGCCCCCGGGGGACACCGGCGGCCGGGCAGCCGACACTCACCACAGACGCCGTCCCTCCAGCCGCGCAGCAGCACGCCCTTGGCGGCGCAGGTGTGCACGTAGGCCGACAGGGCCGCACACAGGCAGTCCTCACTCTTCTCACAGTTGCACGTGTCGAACATGCAGTTCTGGGGGCAGGGGGCTGTCAGGGCACTGCCTGTGACCCCAGCCCACGCGATTCCCTCCCAGAGCCCCGACCAGGTGCTCTGCCCCATCCCTGCCCCTGAGGAGCAGCGATGTCTGTGAGGGAGGTGGCGGGAATGCGTGGCAGGAAGGATGCCTGGGGGTGCGGGGGGTGTGGGGGGCACCTGGTGGGGGGCAGCTTGCATTTTGGATGCATGAATCTGGTTGTGCTGCTCCTGAGGGGCAGGGTGGGGGGCAGACTCGGGGCAGGAGACCAGTGGGGAGGGGCTAGACTGGTGGTAAGGGAGGGGGGTGGTGCCCAGGCCCTGGAAGGGTGGACATGGAGGGCAGAGGCCTGCTCGGGGTTTATACCTGGAGACCCTCCCTGGGGGGCAGAGGCCTGTGCATGGCAGGGATTTAGGTTTCCAGGAAGAGAGCTGCCCAATGGGTGGGCAGGGCTGGCTGTCCCACCGGTTGGGATGGAGGGGGTACATGAGAGAAGTCCCCAAATGTGAGTCGTGAGGTGAGAGGCTTGGGTGGGACAGTTCAGGGCCAGGAGGTCCCTCCCTCATCCCCCGCCCCCCCCACCCATGCTGCGGGGTGGAGCTCACCGTGTGGAAAGGTGCAGGGTTGACAGTGGAATGGCAGGGGGCGAAGAACCCAGCGGGGTCGGTCAGCAGGGCGCACCAGTGCTGGGCGTATTTCTCTGAGGTGGGGGCGTGGGGGGCCACAGTCACCCTCTCGCTACCCTGCACCTGCCCAACCCCCGCAGCCCCAACTCCTCAAACGCAGGCTGGGGGGGCCCTCTCCCCTGGGAATGTGGATTGGAATTTGGGGCTCAGAGAAGAGAGGGGGACGCCATCTACCATTCCATGTGGTGCTGCTTCTGGGGAAGAGGAGATGCTCTTCCGCCCTGCCCCAGCCCTGCACCTTCCACCCCTCCCTGCCGTGCTTACACCCTCCTTCCTGCCTGCCTGCACACCTGCCTGTGGGGTCCTCCAAGCCCTGCCCCCGGGGGCCCCCATGGCCCCGCCAGCCCAGTTGGGGTACCATTCTCCACGCTGAGGGAGCAGGGGTCCTCGAAGCTGTTCTTGGCATTGGGGCAGGCGGCCTGGGTCTTCCAGGTGTTGGCGAAGGCCGCACCCGTGCCCTCCACCACCCCGCTGAGGGCTGTGAAGTCGTCTGCCTGGTTCTGGTTGAAATTCCCACACAGGCCTGGTGGCCGGGTGGGCAGGGGAGAGCATCAGCCGGTGTCCGGCCTGGCCCGGTCTCCCTGGCCTGCCAGGAGCTGAAGCCGACTGGCCGGAAAAACCCTTCCAGGATTTTCTCTTCCAGAAATGTCTGCAGACAAGCCCTGGTGGGGGTCAGTCCTTCCCAACGCTGCCTGAGCCGGGACAACAAGGCTCCCTCTTGTCCACCAAGCCACCTCCCCATTGCCGGCCCGATGTCGGCGAGCTCTGGCTGGCTGTGCCTGTCCATCCCCTGGGGGCCCGGGCCTTTCAAATGCAGCCCCACCCGCACCTTCCGCAGGCAGCGGAACTGGTCCCGGCTCCCCCCCAAGTTGCCAGTGGGGCCTCACCGCATGTCTGGCCGCGGTGGGCCGGGTCCAGCTGGAGGTAGACCTGCATGAGGGGCACCAGCTGTACCTGCAGCTGCAGGCCGAGCCCCGTCTGCACCAGGACGAAGAAGGAAGAGGGTCTGAAGGCCTTCAAGTCGGCTGGCGGGGGTGGGGGCAAACGGAAAGCCATCAGAGACCACATGGAGGCCTGGGTACGCTCCCGGCTCGCCTCCCCACCAGCTGGACAAGTGCTTTTCCCCCTGTGTTCCTGGGGGGCTTTGCAGGTGGGACAGGCCCCACTGCTGAAGAGGTCGTGCTAGGGCAGGACCAAGACACGTGGTCAACCCGGCGGTCCCACCACAGAGCCACCCACAGCTGCCATCTTTGTGGGCTGCCCAAGCCAGCACCAGTTGTGAGTGAGGCCGACACTCCCCCAGAGGGTGGGGCCCTGACCCAAGTCTCTGCAGCCACGGGGGGACCATTGTCACCCCCACTCTGCGGACGGGAAACTGGTCCATGGGACTTTCTGGAACTGCCCAAAGCCACAAAGACACCTTGGTGGATTGGCCCAGGCGCTGGGAGCTGCCCACTGCTGTGGAGGCTCCACATCCAGGCAGGGACATCTGGCCAGGTGTGGAGTGACCGGGCTATTTAGGGAGCCAAGTACCTGTTGACACTGGCAGCTGGGTGTAGATGGAGTTCATGAACACCGCGCCATTGGCCTGAATCCGGATGGCCTAGTGAGAGGGGGGTGGGACCTCAGTGAGTGCCGGGAGTAGGGGAAGACAGTGCCTGTCCACTGGGCACCCCAGCCCCGCTCCACAGATGGGGGAGCAGTCACCCCACCGGCCGCAGAGCCGGAGGAGAGCTTAGGCCTCTGAACCTTGGTCCAGCTCTAGAACTGCCCTGGAGAAGTGGCTGCCATTTGGGGCCGTGCAAGCCTCAATTTCCTCTCCATCTGTCTGTCCCTCTGTCTCTCCATCTCTCCACCTGTCTGTCTATCTCTTCATCTCTCCACCTGTCTGTCTCTCCATCTGTCCACCTGTCCGTTTCTCCCGTCTGTCTGTTCACCTGTCTGTCTCTTCATCTGTCCATCTGTCTGTCTCTCACTTGTCTCTCTCCACGTGTCTGTTTCTCCACCTGTCTCTTCATCTGTCCACCTGTCCGTCTCTCACTTGTCTGTCTCTCCACCTGTCTGTTTCTCCATCTGTCCACCTGTCTGTTTCTCCATCTGTCCATCTGTCTGTCTCTTCATCTGTCCTCCTGTCTGTCTCTCCATCTGTCTCCATCTCTCCACCTGTCTATCTCAGTCCCTTTCTGCCCGTCCCCTTCTCTCTGTGCCATCTCTATGGCTGTGGCTGGCTCTTACCATGTCCCCGCCCTGCAGGCTGAGGGTCACCGACTTGAGGCAGCTCTCGGTGTCTGTCATGCCACACCTCCGCAGCTCGGCCAGCACAGTGAAGGTGCTGTTAGCAAAACTCTGATGACAAAGCCACAGACGCGTTGGGGACAGCCGGTCCCCGAGGGGGTGGGTAGGGCTGCTTGTGGGCATGTGGGAGCCCTGGCATGCCCGCACAGGCCGGGAAGGTGATGGCCCCCAAGTGAAGTGGCCTCTGGCACCTGCGGGCACCTCCGGGTTCTGGGCCACTGGGAGAGCATGAGCCCAGGGTCCTCCCTCTCAGGACTCAGCCACCATGCTGGCACACCCCGTAAGGCCCTTCCCGGGACAGGAGCTGAGGGGCACAGAGCCCATCCACGCACCTTGGACAAGATGTAGCTGCAGTCCCCATGCAGGTCATAGAGCTTCTCATCATATGTGGAGATGTGGGCACCCCCCTGCACAGAGCAGGTGCCCGGGCACGGGAGGTCCTTGCACTGCCACCGTCCCCCGGAGCAGGTACTGGGGGAAGGGGAGGCTGTGAGTGGGGAGAGCGATGGGGGGAGGAGGCAGACCCCAGCCCTCAGGCACCCCCACTACCCAGGACGAGGGCCAGCGGGGCAGGCCGGGGGGATGTACCAGGAGCTGCAGCTGGTGGCAAAGGCAGCCCCCGGGGCGTAGGTGCGACCACCGTAGGTGCAGGGGCACTGCTGCAGGGGCACGCAGCCTGAGTGGGTGACGTCATCCAGCACCGTGCCTGGGGGGTGGAGGGGGCCGTGGGCGGTTGGGAGGACCAGCCTGGTCTGCACAGCAAATGGGCTGCTCCTACCCTACTGCGCAGGTGAGGGACTGAACCCAGGTGTGGCTCACCTGTCCGAGGCCACAGAGCAGCCAGTGGGGGCTTGAGTTACCACCTGTGACCACCTGCCTCCAAGAAGGGGAGTCCGAGGGGACAAGCCCTCTCCCCGCTCCGGGGCTCCTTGGGGACGGAGCCCTGGACCTGGAGTGTGCGCTCTGCCCCAGCCATGCCAGGTTTGGACAAGCTCCAAGCTGCTCTGTGCCTCAGTTTCCCTGCCGGTTCCGAGGGGCCCATGGTGCCTGCTCCGTACCCCCCCCCCCTCCGATCAGCATGACTCCTGCGGGGAATCGTTGGGGGAAGGTGACTCCTGGACCAATCAGCCTCGACCAGCATCGGGCATTGGGAACACAATGACCCTGGAGGCAGGACAGATGGGCAGGGGCTGTCCTGGGAGAGGGGCTGGTGACCTGCCTGGGGGACAGAAGCAGCCGTCCTCGCAGTGGTCCTCACAGAGCTGGGCGCGCTCAGGGTTGGAGCAGGTGTTGGCACAGGGCGAGCCACACTCCTGGTGCTGCATGCCCACCGGGCACTTCTGGGCTGCAGCTGGAGGGAGGGAGGGAGGGAGGGAGGGAGGCGCTGGGCCGAGCAGCTGCACAGGGCGCGTGGGCGGCCCGAGAGCCCACCAGGGCCCCGCTGGAGGTGTTCCCTGCACTGACAGAGCCTCTGCCCCACCTTCTGTGCCACCAAGAGGTCCCCCCGAAAACCATGGCTAGGGTCCAAGGAGCGGGCAGATGTCCACTTCTCAGGCAGCTGCAAGCCCACCTGTCCGCTCCCTCAGCTGCCTCCCGGGTCAGGTAGGAGGCGTGGAGAGCCCAGGGCCCAGCACCTCCTGGGTCAGCCCTCCCTGTGCCCACCTGAGGGCCCAGCTGCCCTGCACATCCCCCTCCCCACCCCCTTCCTCCCTCTCCTGCCCTTTTGCTCGTGGGCTCCACCTGCCCCGTCTCCCCCCACCCCCACCCCACCGTGGGACACTCACAGCAGAGGTCGGGGCCCCTCCAGTTCTGTGGCTGGCCTCCCGCGTGGGCGCACTGGCGGGAGTACTCGGCAAAGGTGGCACACGGGCAGCTGGGGCAGCGGCACAGGTCTTGGGCGCAGGAGGCCACATACGGGTCAGGGTCCACCAGCTCGTTGCACTGGGTGAAGGCTGGGCCGAGCAGGGTGCGGCTGCACACATCCTCCTGGGGAGCATGGTGGGGCTGGGCACTGCAGGCAGCCCCTTGGCCCCTCCGCCCACCTCCAGAGATGATGGCCACGGTGGCCGTGCCCAGACCGCAGCCAC